TATTAACCCTGGTAATAATTATTCCCGCCGGAGTTCGCAGAATATGGCGGCGGGGAGCCACACGCAACGGCTGCCCGCGTCACGCAAGGGACACTCCCTGCCTGGCCGAGTGGAATCCCGGCCTACCTGCCGTGGTGGCTTACGGAGCTCTCTGCCGCCCGTTCTCTACCTCGCTCTGAGCTTCAATTAGATACTTCTATCAATGATACAAGCAATATGCTCTTCATTTCCTTTAATTACTGATTACAGTATAGTAATACATAATTACGAAATGTATACAATGTCTTATACAGTAGTACTTGGATAATTCGATCGTCTTTAATACAGCTAAACCTGTCTATAGCGCCCTCTCTAAATAGCGCCACCCTCTCTATAGCGCCCTATTTTAAATACGTAGTACGATGCGAATCACATTAAAAGTGACCTGTCTATAGCACCCTATTTTAGTGAGCCCCAAGAGGAGGCGCTATAGACAGGTTTAACTGTATTTACCTTTGTCTCTATAATATTCAATAAAATATTGTTTAGAACTTTTTTTAATATTGAATGTATACATGTATACAATTATTGCACATAATCTAAATATACGGTAAAATGTAAATTTACAACAACTAATGTTTTTCTTAATAAAGGAATTGATCGAGAATGTACGAGGTTTTATTGTTTTAAGCCTCTTATTCGAAAACTTTTTAATTCGAATTTTTGAATAATTCAAAATATTTTTTTTTTGGTTTCTTGGGATTCGAATTATCCAAATTTCACTGTAAAACAATACTATAAAATTTAAAAACTTCTAAATTATTTAATTATTCAGTTTAAAATCTTAGTCATTCTTTTTAATATATAGAAATGTGAAAAAATCGAAATTATTATCCTGACCTGACACAGTTTGCCCACTTCTACGCATTTACTATATACAGTTACGAGCGTCATGCGTTCTTAATAATTCTTCATCTCTGTCACCGTTTGCTTTTTTTTTTTGGAATGGCGCTCTCCTATTGGTTGGCTACGATCACGCCATTAGGGATATATATGTCACATCTACTTAATATAGATATAATACTATATACTCTACTAATATATGCATTTATATAAGGCGCCAATTTATAATTGTAACAAATAGTATTTGAATAAAAACATTCAATCGGGTAAAACACGGGCGTTGCCCGGGTCATTCGGCTAGTTGCCATATATATGGTAGAGGTAACTCTCAATAAAATTGTGCACCAGAATGATAAACTGTGGATCACCTTAGTAAAATTCTCTACTAGTGATCATAAAGAATGAGCTATAACATCATATTTGGCTAATATAAAAAAATAACATACATCATGGTTCTATAATTCTGATGCACAAATAAAGAGGGAGGTGCTTGAATATCATCCTCCTGCAACTCTGTGTTATATATATTAATTAATCAATTAAAAAGACTCATATTGGATCAAAAGAATTAATTTACCAATATTTCAGTTGACTTATCGCCAAATCTTTCAAGTTATTACAACATATGTATGTCAACAACAAGCTCAGCGCGCCACATAAGCCAATAGAATTAAGTTTAAAAAGATATTTTTTGCTTATATTCAATGAAAAGGAAGAAAATAACTTTGAGAAAAAATATATATATCACATAAATTTTGTAAATTACTATATATAAATTGTATATATATTGTAGAAGACACCTATTTTCTCAATATGACAAGGGTCATTATCCCAACACCATGGTCTCTAAGTGGACGTTTCTCAGTTTTCCAAAACTGTTGTTGTGGCTTTGCAACCGACCTGAGTCCGTTAGTTTGCGGAGACGGTCAATAGATGGCGCTTGGTTTTAGCGGGATAAACAAACTTTATTTTAATAGATCATTTTCCTTTCGGTAAAATTTCCATTTTTATATATTACCATATAGATTGATAAATATGCCTCATAAAACATCATAACGATATCATAGATATATTTCACAAATTCTAATGTTTTTATTTACATTCCAAGTAAATTTTGAAGATTTTAATTAATGCTGAGAAGATGTAATGAAATAAAAGGCTGATATAGACTGTAGAAGACCATTATCTCAAAACCATTATATCCAAGTGGGCATAATGAACTTTTTAAACACCTATTGCTACTCTGTTACAGATCCAAAACCCCTAGTTTGCGGAAGCGTTTAATAGATCGACGTTTCAACGTCTATTTAGATTTTTGTATTTATAGATTACTATCGTACCGACACAATGCCATGTAAATATTTTTTATAAATAAATATAAACCAATATATGGGAACTAAATCATTTAAGCAATGATATTTTTCATACTTAAAATAAATTTCTACTCTCCTTAGTGCGATAAAATATTGGAAGGGATTAGCTAATCAGAGTGGTAAACCCTCCCAGCAGTCTCACCAATTTAATCTACCAGACCGCTTCTTAAAGCTTAATACTGTATTGGACGATTCTGCTTATATATGCTACACTGAAGGGTGTAATCTCAGAAATGGTATTCAGTGTAGTATATATAAGCAGAATCGTACAATACAGTATTAGAGCTCAAGGAAGCGGTCTGATAAATTAAATTGGAGAAACCGCTGGGAGGGTTTACCACTGATGAGCCAAGCCCTCGTAATATATTTTCATATCAGTAAGGGCAGTAGAAATTCATTTTATGCATGAAAGACACCTTCATGCGCAAATTATATGGCGCGTTATGGCTTTGTATAAACCAATATATCTCTTCTTAAATTTTCTAAGAAAATGGGAATCTATTATTAATTATATATACAGGGTGATCCAAAAGTCCCGCACAACTTTAAAAATTAATAACTCCGCGAATATTTGCGCTAGAGCAATGCGGTAAACACCATTCTGTTCAGGATGCAATGGGATTTTTTATAGCAAATAATTAAAAATTCGAAATTTATTTTAGTTACAACTTTATTCGCTAGATGGCACTGTACCAGAATCAGAGATTCAACGGCCAAATTGTTTGATAAATTGAAAAATATAACAGAACGACACGTATTTTTCCTTTTTGAATACCAGGAAAGAACCCTAATAATATTAAATGATAAATTAATAAAACACCATTTCGCCAAAAGTTAGAAGAAATGGTTAACGATTTTTAAATACAATCTGAGATATGTAAAATAGGTAAATGCAAATTAAAACATGTAGCAAAAAATATTTATATTTTAGATGGAGTTTTGTGAAATAGATTGAATATTTAAAAACACTGCTGATATCAATAAACGATTTTTTGAAATGTTAATATAGTACCTAAAATTATGATGGCACTACTAATAGGATTTCTTGCTATAAGGAATGTATAGTTTCTTGACTAATTGGCGACACTTGACTATTTAACTGAATATTTGTCATGATCCAAAACTGAAATATAGAGGGGAATGACAAAATATATTTGTCATACTTTATTTCAAATATCCTATGGGCTTGTCAAATGTTATCATTGTTTATTATACTGTACATAATTTTGAAAATGTATCCCCTAAAAAAATCATTTTTAAATCGACCTTTTGCGTTTAAAAACGTGGTAGTAAAATCATTTTGTATTATTTTTTGCGCAAAATTTCTAAAGTTAGGGGGAGGGGATACAGGGAATATTCCTTATGCTATTTCTTCTGATGAGCGAAAAGCGATAAACTAAATATAAGGGGTAAAATTGTGTATACCAGTGTTATTCGAGAAGTTATAACACTTTGGCCTGCACGACATAATATAAGATGTGGGCAAATGACAAAGAAAAAAATTAATTATAAAGGACTGCGGCGTATAATTATAAACAACACTTAAAGTTTCACCGCATAAGTTTCTTTTCTGTGAAAAATCAATATTTATTTCAAAGAGAAATATTTACTATTTCTAACTTTTTTAGATGAAGTATGAAAGGGTGAAAATATGAAGAGTGATGGCGAAGTATGAAGTATGAAAGGGTGAAAATATGAAGAGTAATGGCGAACGGAAAAATAAAAGTGTCCAGGGGCGGGAATCGAACCCACAACCTTCCGCTTACCGGGCAGATGCCATGTCCATTAGGCTACCCTGGACGTATTTTTACGTTTGTAAATAATACTTAAAGTAACTTATAATACATTATAGTGGACTGCGGCGTATGATTATAAACAACACTTAAAGTTTCACCGCATAAGTTTCTTTTCTGTGAAAAATCAATATTTATTTCAAAGAGAAATATTTACTATTTCTAACTTTTTTAGATGAAGTATGAAAGGGTGAAAATATGAAGAGTGATGGCGAAGTATGAAGTATGAAAGGGTGAAAATATGAAAAGTAATGGCGAACGGAAAAATAAAAGTGTCCAGGGGCGGGAATCGAACCCACAACCTTCCGCTTACCGGGCAGATGCCATGTCCATTAGGCTACCCTGGACGTATTTTTCCGTTCGTAAATAATACTTAAAGTAACTTATAATACATTATAAAGGACTGCGGCGTATGATTATAAACAACACTTAAAGTTTCACCGCATAAGTTTCTTTGCTGTGAAAAATCAATATTTATTTCAAAGATAAATATTTACTATTTCTAACTTTTTTAGATGAAGTATGAAAGGGTGAAAATGTGAAGAGTGATGGCAAGTATGAAGTATGAAAGGGTGAAAATATGAAGAGTAATGGCGAACGGAAAAATAAAAGTGCCCAGGGGCGGGAATCGAACCCACAACCTTCCGCTAACCGGGCAGATGCCATGTCCACTCGGCTACCCTGGACGTATTTTTCCGTTCGTAAATAATACTTAAAGTAACTTATAATACATTATAAAGGACTGCGGCGTATGATTATAAACAACACTTAAAGTTTCACCGCATAAGTTTCTTTTCTGTGAAAAATCAATATTTATTTCAAAGATAAATATTTACTATTTCTAACTTTTTTAGATGAAGTATGAAAGGGTGAAAATATGAAGAGTGATGGCGAAGTATGAAGTATGAAAGGGTGAAAATATGAAGAGTAATGGCGAACGGAAAAATAAAAGTGTCCAGGGGCGGGAATCGAACCCACAACCTTCCGCTTACCGGGCAGATGCCATGTCCACTAGGCTACCATACCAGGCTACCATTTGAAATAAATATTGATTTTTCACAGAAAAGAAACTTATGCGGTGAAACTTTAAGTGTTGTTTATAATCATACGCCGCAGTCCTTCATAATGTATTATAAGTTACTTTAAGTATTATTTACGAACGGAAAAATACGTCCAGGGTAGCCTAGTGGACATGGCATCTGCCCGGTAAGCGGAAGGTTGTGGGTTCGATTCCCGCCCCTGGACACTTTTATTTTTCCGTTCGCCATCACTCTTCATATTTTCACCCTTTCATACTTCATACTTCGCCATCACTCTTCATATTTTCACCCTTTCATACTTCATCTAAAAAAGTTAGAAATAGTAAATATTTCTCTTTGAAATAAATATTGATTTTTCACAGAAAAGAAACTTATGCGGTGAAACTTTAAGTGTTGTTTATAAAAAAATTACTGTTCACAGAAAAAAAAGAGTCAAGATGTGAGGACAGCATTTATTATTCTCATAACCCAAAACAAAGAGCTGCAAAATATAACACATGAGGTAACTGCCTTCTCTCTTGTATTAGGTCACAATCCTTGCTAAATGTGGCGCCCTTCATTCTCAAACACCGCCTGCAGACGATAGATGACAGAATGGTCAAAATTAAATAGTTGAAATTTATAAAACGTGCCATCTGATAGAAGCCTTCAACATGGCCAATGTGGTAGGCCGGCATCGATAAAAACGCGACTTAATGTACCCCCATAACCGAAATTGTAAGGCGTCAAGTCTGGTGATATTGGAGGCCACTGGTATATAAAGTGGCGACTTATCAACGAATTTCACCGAACATATCCTTCAGCAATTGTTTGGCACCGCGGGAGATATTAGGAGGTCCTCCATCTTGCATGAATGTTATTTCGCTTAGTGCTTGTCTGTCCTGCAATATGGGAATAACCTTTTCTCTCAAAAGTTGAACATAATGTTCACCAATTACAAAAACGGTTTTAAAAGTTCTTCCATTGATTTTTTCAAAGAAAAATAGCCCAATAATAAAAGAAGAAGTGAACCCACACAAAACTGTAACTCTGGGCTGATGAAGTGGTATTTCTGTAAAATTCCTATGGTTTTCTGTTGCCAAAATTAGGCAGTTTTGAATGTAAAATTCTCCCTTTAGATAAAGGTGAGCATCATCTGTTCTTAGAACATTTGACAGCCAGTTTTCATCAATATCAATTAGCCGGAAAACCCATGCAGCGAATTCTTGACACTTCTCAAAATCGCTGACTTTCAACTCGTGAAAACTTTGAATTTTGTTAGGGTATTTTTATAGAAAAATTTTAAATATGTGTTCTCTCCAAACTGTTCCATATGAAATCCCCGTTTGTCGAGAAACTTGTCTAGCACTTACTTCTCTATACGTGGATAACGTTTCAATAGCTTCAGCATTCTGCAAAACCGTAACAGCCACTGACTTGCATGTCGATGGTCTTCCACTCCGAGGTTTGCATCCAGAGATCCAGTTTCCTCAAAACCTTTAATCAATCGCTTTAGAGAGTAGCAACTCATTGGTCCTATACCGCTTCGAATATCTTTAAAGGAACGAAACGCTCGTAAAGCTTCAGTGGCAGATTCTGAATCACAATTTAAAAATTTCACCAAGAGTGCTTTATCCTGTAGTGACGGCATTCCAGGGGGAAGGGGAGAAGTCCGACCACACCTCCTTGCGGTCCTCCCTGGACCTTTGGAATATTTGACCAAATTCTGGTTCGTTTCCAAGATGACTAACGTTGCAACGGCACCCATTTTCAAATGAAGAGCAAAACTGATATCTCTAGTAATGCTACCGCGTCCGGGGTAACCGCCGCGTCAGGAGCTGCAGCTCGAGCTCATGATGAGAAATCTACTACGAGGACACAATTCAATCTACTGCAACTCAATTTAAATGGTACCCAGAGGAAAATAAAGAGTTATCTTGTCTTCTCTGTGACAACAATGTACATATTACTTGTACTCAGGAGACAAAATTGAATCAGTATCTGAGATTCAATATCAAAGATTATACAAAACTACGAATGGACAGACCGGGAAAATTCGGAGGAGGACTTGCCGTTTCGATTAAAACTCTAGAAATCAAATTTAAGGAAATCGCCTATAATCAGAGTAAGCCTAGAGAAAGCACGACAGAAGCTCAGGCAATAGAAATCTATCTTACAGATGAACAATTCCAATCATAAATGTTTATCACCACGATAATACTAGCATCAATAAAGGCCTGATAGAGACATTAAGTGAAGCGTCTTCGGATATCGCAATCATACTTGGTAATTTTAACGCCGAAAGACCAACTTGTGGATCACCTGTCCAGGATAACAAAGGTCAGCAGGTTGAGGACATGCTAACCGACCTCGACCTTATACCGTTAAATAACGAAAAGAACACCTATCTATCCAAGTCCACAGGCACAGAATCCGCAATAGACATCACAGCGATAAATTACAACATGGAATCCACAACACAATGGAAAATTCTGAAAAGTGCAATCAGTGACCACAGACCAATTTTATCAACCCTAAAATTCAAAATTGAGAATTTCCAACAGAATAAAAGAACACTGGAAAAAAATTCACAGAAAAGCTTGAAGAACTGTGCAACGAAGAATTAAATCACAGAACGATTGACAAATAATTGGAAAATTTTCTTCGAACATATCCAAAGCTGCAAAAGTATCGATACCTAGAGGTAGACGTAAAGACATGTGAATACTTTACTGGAAGGACCACAATATCGAGGCAATGACTGCAGAGACAGACAATATCAATGAACTTCTTAAAACAAATAAAACAGAAGAAATCATAAAGGAACTCATTGAAATTAGTCACAAAATAGAACAAGAAATTTGGATATTCAAACAAGAGAGAAAAATGGGCAGAATTCTGCGAAAAAAATGGATCCAAAAGAGGAAAGCCATCACTGGAATATAATTAGTGTTATAAAACAATCAAATCCAACACTAATCCTCCAATACTCTAACCGATATGAATAGCGAGAACGAACAAACAGATGGCTGAAATAATTGCTGAATATCTTTCAAGCACTTCCAGACTCAGCTATACGAATGAAGGCAGGACTCAAAAAAATAATGTAAACAGGTTAGTTAAACAAGCAAGAAATTACCATCAACAAGATATTTACTCGAGAGACTTCACACTGAATGAGCTAAACTCATCAATAGAAAAGTTAAATCCAAGAGGTCACCAGGAGATAATCTAATCTTTGGTCAAATGATTAAACACTTTGGAGACGAAGCTAAAAATCAACTCCTACGAATACTGAAGATTTCATGGCAAACTGGTAAACTAGCAAAGAATTGGAAAATATCAATTATAGTGCCAATACTGAAACCAAACAAAATGCCAAGGAATGCAAGAACTATCGGCCAATTGCTCTTACCCGCATACTTTGTAAAATAACAGAATGAATTATCCACTCTAGACTCATAGTCTGGCTCACTAACAATAATAAAATAACCTCTACCAAACTGCCTAAAGATCCAGACACTGTAAAACTGATAAACTGTTCTACTTCTGTCAATCAATAATAGATTTCTAGGAAAAACCGCCAAAGAAGACAACGGCCGTTATCCTGTATATAACAACTACATATTTCAAACTATCTGGATCAAGAAAACAAAGGAGTAGAAAAGATCAGCATGACAAGTTCAAAGTTAATAGTACCTTTTAGATGCTATAGCCCAGTGGAGGACACTTCGATCTTTTTGTTCAAAAATTTGAGGCTTTCTTTTTGGCATCTGAAGGAGGAGATTAAAGTGCTGATTTTTACCTCGCTACCAGATTCTGAAACTTTGAAGCAGGGAAACGACATTTTCTTCCTGGTCTAATGAAATATCAACCCTATGATACTAACTATCATTCAAATAATTAAGCTGCATTTGGATCCAAAGAAGAAAGTGATACCACAGCGATGCAGATTTTTAAAGAGAATTCAACAGGGAGCCTGTAGCTGGAAGTCAGAAATAAAGTGAAGAGGTTCCAGAGGTTACAACAGGAAACAAGGAGGAGACTGCTTCTGTGCACGTACCCTCTTGCACTCCTAGAGCAGGGCCTGCTGCTGTGCACGTGCCCTCTTGCACTCCTAAACCGGAGCCTGCCGCTGTGCAAGTGCCCGTCCACAGTCCTAGACCTCAGAGAGCCAGGGAACCCCCAGACCGACTGGAGTATTATTAAGGGGGAAGATGTGTTGTGTATGTAAATGGATGAATATTGTTTGCATTCTTTAAAGTATCATTATTTAAGGATATATGTGTATATAAATTGGACATTTTTGTTGGCCAAACGAAAAGAATGAGAGCTAAAAAAGAGTCATGGTCAAGTTTGAGTTGTTGTACATCTAATTACGACACAACCTTAACAACATCCATTCTCACTGAAGACACAAAAGTTGCCTGTTATGCAGATTATTTAGCCATATGGCACACAAGTAGCAGTATAGAACTGAGAGAACTTGAGAAGTGGGCAATGAAACTCAAAATGACCATAAACCCAATGAACACAAACTTATAGGTCTTCTTCACTGACAGGAAAAAAGGCATGAATTTAACTCCAAAATCAGCATAAAAACCATATAATTGATAAAATTAGATCTCCAAATTACCTAGGTGTGATACTTGATGAGGAATTGCGATTTACAGAACACACAATTAGCACCTCAAATAGAGCTACCAGAAACCTAAACATTCTGAGAAGGCTATTGGAACAAATTGGGAAGCAAAACCCAAAATTCTCAGAACAACATATATCACCTTAATAAGGCCAATAATGGGATATGCAACACCTGTTTGGGCTCCCTCAAGTTCATCACTAAAAAGAAGACTAGAGAGTGTTCAAGCAAAAGCCGCCAAATTAATCACTGGTTTTGTTTCAAATACCAACAATTAGAAAATTCAGAGAGAATGTGGTCTAGAACTACTTTAAAGCAGAAGACAATTAAAAACAATGCAATTCACCAATAGCTTAAAAACTAAAGAAA